AGAGCCGGACTATAGGAAGGGGGGGGGGGCTATGAGGGGTGGAGGGTGGCAACCCCACCCCAGACCCCTCATAGCCCCCCCTTCCAGTAGTCTGGTATATCTGATAATCCGGCACCCCCTGGGTCCTAAAGGTGCCGGATTATCGGAAGTTTACTATTCTAGCAAGTAGCATTTGAAATCCTTTTTTGTGTGTTTGTGCTTTAAGTCAATCTGAAGACTTGTTTAGAACACTTTTGAGATTTCACTGCACCATTTGTGTTAGAGCAGTCTATGAAATCAGGTTAGGTAGCTGTTAGCTCTGACCAGTGTGACATGGATTTGGTGGATAGGAGGAGCACCAGAAGCCGAAGTGGGTTCTCCCCCTGGAAGCATTGTGTTCTCCAGGCTAAGCGGAAGTATGGATGAAAACTATATACGTTAATGTAAATTTTTGTTTTTGATGCTAAGTATACCAGGCACTTCACAAAGCAGTGTGAATGTAAGGTCTCTGACCAAATAGTTTCACTTTCACAGTCAATGAACATTATCTTAAAGGTTTTGTGAGACTGTCTAGTTTCAGGAAATGTGTATGATGAATTTAACTAACCAGTGCTTGTATTCCTCATAGGTGCTCTTGGCGGCAGCCGTCTGCACAAAGGCAGGAAAGGCCATAGTTTCCCGGCAGTTCGTGGAGATGACTCGCACCCGCATTGAGGGGCTGTTGGCAGCCTTCCCCAAACTTATGAACACCGGGAAGCAGCACACGTTTGTGGAGACCGAGAGTGTGCGATATGTATATCAGCCAATGGAAAAGCTGTATATGGTGCTGATCACCACCAAAAATAGCAATATCCTAGAAGACCTAGAAACACTCCGTCTCTTCTCTAGAGTGGTAAGAACTTCATTCCAAGTTTACTTAATATGCATTTTGGATGATACTGTCCTGAAGCAATGATGTTATAAAGTGCTGTATTGGGGAGCTGTTACTGCTATATCCACTGCCTCATAATAGAATCTAATCTATGTCCCATTAGTGACCTAGAAGTAATCATTGAATCTGATCCTAAGTTTCTTCTCTCTTCCTTGACTGAGGCCCATATGGAAGAAGTGTCTGGCTTTGAGTTAACTTTCTTTGATTAAACCAGAACAACCCAACCCTTCAGTAAAATAAATATTTGTTAACAAGTATGGAGTGCTATAAACAAAACTAAGTACCACTTGTACAAAGTAAATAAATAGAATGTATTTAATTTGCTGTGTGCAATTGGTATAGTAGTTAAGGATGTTAAATTGCAGTTATATGGCTAATCATGTGGTCGATACAATTTATATCGACTACGTGATTAGTCAAGAAGAGCTGCTGGGCTCTTACTACATTTAAAATCCAGAGACTGCACTGTGGATGGCTCCCAGAGCCAGCATGAGCCGGGACTGCTTGGTCTCGGCTTGAGCTGAGTCCAGCAGCCCCTATTTGTGGTGGCCAGTCACATCCACTGCAAATGGGCTGCTCTGGCACCAGCCACTTTTAAGCTGACATCTCCCAGCACTGGTTCCTGTTTTCCCACCCTTCCCTTGCTGCCTTTCATAGAGGCAGCGGTGGTGGTGGGAGGCGGGAGGGGCTGAGGAGGAGGAGGAGAGGAGAGGAGAGGCGAGGCAAGTAGTTGATACTTCAGTCAGCTACTCACTAACATCCCTAATAGTAGTAATCCTGTTGTAAAAATCTATCTGCATATGTATTCATGCTATCATCTGTATAAAGCTTTGAGATTTCTTTGTGTGTCAGCCAATTACAGCCTGGGGAGCTCCTGGAAATCACTGCTTACTATCTGCCAGTTCAGTTAAAATGTAGCTGAAATAGAATATTATAATTCAATTTAGTCTTTAAAATGCATGCTTCTCTCTCTCAATTGAAACAAGCAATGACTGGTTATTGACTTTAAAAAGATAGGATTGGGGTGGCATTTTGGGGACAGGCAAGGCTGGGAGGGTCACAAAAGTGATGCCTTTGGGTAAAATTAATCCTAGTGCAGACACTACATGAGGCCTCAGGACCACTTCAAGTCTCACATACTTAAAATAGAATGTAAGTAGTGCATAGGCCTTCTGTTAAGCCTCTGCACAGGGGAGAATTCCACCTGTACATATGGTGGGGGTAGTTAGTCATCTTCTCTTCCTTTGCAGAGACCCTTATTTTAATTATTCTTCCTAACCAGATTCCTGAATATTGCCGAGCTCTGGAGGAGAATGAGATCTCTGAGCACTGCTTTGACCTGATTTTTGCCTTTGATGAAATTGTTGCCCTGGGCTACCGTGAGAACGTAAACCTGGCACAAATTCGGACCTTCACAGAGATGGACTCACATGAAGAGAAAGTGTTTCGAGCAGTCAGAGAGGTGAGGCAGAGGCATTCCATGTCTTAGTTATGTGAAATGAAATTGCTGGTTTCTGTACAGTGAGATTGCTCCTAAGGATGTAATAGTGTAGTTGAATAACCGATAAGCAAAAGCTTATAGGTTAATGCTATAGACTACATATGTTCCCCTCCCCCCGCCAGTAAATTTTTCAGCAGGCTGGCCAGCAGCCCGACTCAGTCCTGGCTTGCGCTGGGTTCGGGACCTTCCCCCACTGTGGCTCTACGTTTAATATGTATTAGGAGCCAGTTGGGCAGGTAGCCCGGCTCATTTCTGGCTCATGACTGGTCTGGGAGCTCAGCCCCGCTCCAGACAGGGGCTGCTGTCACCCTGTGCTGCTGCCACCCCTGAAACAGAGGCAGCAGTGCAGAGTGGCAGGGAGCTCCTCGGGGGTGGGCCCGGAGTGCGCTGGCTGCCAGCCTCACTCCCGCAGACTGTAAAATAGTTGAGTAACTGATAAGAATTCATTAGGTTAATCAGCTACTCAATTAACCAGTATTTAACATCTCTAGTTGCTACTGTTCCAGGTTTGATCCTAACCCTTAATTCGTCAGTGATCAATTTTAACATTTCATAAACAGTCTGTCCTGCTTTCGTCTCCTCTTTCCGTCCTTATTGCACTTTGACAAATGGAGTAGATCAGTCTTAAAAATCTAGTCAGTTGCTGTTCTTTTTCTTCTAGACTCAAGAGCGTGAGGCAAAGGCTGAAATGCGCCGGAAAGCCAAGGAGTTGCAGCAGGCCCGAAGAGATGCAGAGAGACAGGGCAAAAAAGCACCAGGCTTTGGTGGATTTGGCAGCTCGGCTGTATCTGGGGGTACAACTGCGGCCATGATCACAGAGACCATTATTGAAACAGAGAAGCCCAAAGTGGCACCTGCACCAGCCAGGTACAAAACTGGTTCAGGTAGACTAGAGCCCTGGCCAGGACTAGGGTAGAGCCCTGTAGCAGGACACGGGTCCCGTAGGACCTGTTGCCCTTATAATGGGAGGAAGATTAAAATGGCCCAGTGCGGGGCTGTAAGGTAGAGCATGTTCATCAGCAAGAGAAAAGATGCTGAGGACTGCTTGTTAAAATGAAAGGCTCAAGTTTTGGATTGCCTTGCTGATTGACTGCATTGCTAGACAAGTACAATTAAATGATGTAGAACAAGGGTGGCCAGCCTGTGGCTCCAGAGCCACATGCGGCTCTTCAGAAGTTATATGCGGCTTCTTGCCTAGGTACCAAATCCAGGGCTGAAGCTACAGGTGCCAACTTTCCACTGGGCTGGAGGGTGCTCACTGTTGAACCCCCAGCTCTGCCCTAGGCACTGTCCCCCTCCACCCTTTCCCCCTAGGATCCTGCCACTTCCCACCCTCTCCACTGGGCCTGTCACACCCATGCTTCCCCCCTCCAGTGTCTCCCACTGAGAAAAAGCTGATCCCAGTGGTCAGGAGGAAAAGGAGGCGGCACTGACTGGTGGGGCTGCCAGTGGGCGGGATGTGCTGAGTGTAGTGGTGGGGAGATGATCAGGGCTGGTGACATAGAACTGTTGTTCTTTGGCAATGTGCATTGGTAAATTCTGGCTCCTTCTCAGGTTTAGGTTGGCCACCCCTGATGTAGAGGGATGCTAAAAATGCACATAATATGTAAGGTTTAACTTTAAACTGCAGAGCTTTCAGCAAAGCCTCCGTGTATAACTTGTTGCTGCTGGGCCTGGCCCGGGCACGCCCCGGCCTGCGGTGGGCCCCACAGGGCTGGAGCAGTCCCTTGCCCATGATGGGTGGGGAGCTGCTCCAGTCTCTACAGTTAACTGGAACCAGTAAGCCTCACCCATTAAGGGTCAGACTTCCTGATTAGCTGGTTAACCTTTTACTTCCCTAGAAGGGCTCAAAGTAAAAGCTGTGATGCTGGAATGGTCCCATTGTAATGATGTGAAATTTGTGGAAAGGTTGTATCTGCTGCCGTAGTTGTCTGATACACGTTTCCATCTCTTTCTTTTTTTTCTTCTTTAGACCATCAGGCCCCAGTAAAGCTTTGAAGCTTGGAGCTAAAGGAAAGGAAGTGGACAACTTTGTGGACAAGCTGAAATCAGAAGGCGAAAATATCATGACCTCTTCTGTAGGCAAGCGTTCCTCAGAGGCAGCCAAGGTTCTCGCTGCGCCCATTAACATGGAGAGGTAGACATTGCCCTGGGCTGTAAGAGGGATGCTCTTTTCAGTTTGACTAGAGACTCTAGTTATGTCTTCTAAATATGTTAAAGCTCTTCATTTTATGAAACAGATTTCCTCACACCATACTGACCCTTAGGCTTTGGGTAAAATTTTCAAGAGGCTCTGAATTTATTTAGGCTAAGTTCCATTTTCAAAAGTAACTTAGAAGGTTAGGAGCTTGGGACTCATGTGTTAAGTCATTTAGGTGAATTGGAAATTTTACTCCTTGTCTTCTGAATTTGTATTCAACCTAATATTTCTTTCTCCCAATTCTTTTATTTCTGGATGTCTGCCCCCTTCAGATTCTGAGAGAGCTCTCTCATCTTCTTACCTCCTCCATCTGCTCTAAACTCAGCTATACAGAGTTTTTAATAGTTCTTCATGTTTTCATTCCTCTGACTCCTTGACTGGTTTTGTTCTTTTGTCTGGAGCTTACCGATTTGTCAGCAGATACCAGGTATTGAGGTGACTGGTTCAGAAGTCTGCTTTCACCACTCTGTGTGTTGGTGGAGCCTTGAAGAGTTCCTGGCTTATTTCCAGTTAGAGTGCATGTATGCAAAATTCCAGTGTTCCATGTTGGAGCATAGAGCCATTGCTGCCATTAAAGATGGCATTATGCCTATTTTATAAGGCTAAGTGAAACACATGATTCTGACTACAGTCCTTTCTAGACAAGTTTTCATGTTGCCTACATATTTTCTATTCTGTACTGAATAGAACAGCTTGGCAGTGCAGTACATAAACTCATATAGTGGCTTTTCAAGCACCAGAAGTATCCATATGTTTCTTCCCAGCGTTCAGCTCTTTCTTTTGAAAACTGCCTAAGCGTTCTACAGAGGAAGAGCCAGGGTTATGTGTTTGGGCTCTTATCTGTTCCAGGCTTGTGCCATGCACAGGTGATTCTAGTGTCTTCTATGTGAATCTGTTTCGAGCAGAAGTGCATGTTTCCATAATACTGGTCTGCATGACTTCTCTCTGAGTTGTCATTTTTTGACAACATCCTCTTAAGCACTTTTTAAAAAATTGTCCAGTCAGGTCTCAAAGAAACAATTATCTTGTCTGTCAAACTAGGGCATTTGGTGTGTATTGGGCTTTTCTTTTCTGTCCAGTGTGCATATGAAAATCGAGGAGAAGATTTCCTTGACTTGTGGTCGTGATGGTGGGTTACAAAACATGGAACTGCATGGCATGATCATGCTGAGGATCTTAGATGAAAAGTTTTCCCGGATTCGCCTCCATGTAGAAAATGAAGATAAGAAGGGGATACAGCTACAGGTAAGGCTGGCTAATGGTCCTGGCTTACATATGTACTTCTGTCATGGATGGAAGCAGTACTGTATTGTATATTTTTATCCAAGTTCTCCTGTAGATACACTTAAAAATGGCAGTTACAGTAAATGTAAGTACAGCACAAATAAAGGCGAAATCTCCTGTTTAGAACACTCAAGTTAACTTGAAAATACAGTTTCTTACACTTATGCTCCCACAGCCTTATCTATCCCATGATTCATATTTGTGCCACTTGATTTCACTTGGACTTTGCAGCAGTCCCAGTGTGTTGCTTGATGTTAGTTCCATCATGAGTTTCTTGTATAAAGAAGAGGGTGTATGTATAAAGTTATTCTCAGCCAATGAAAATTATTTAATCAACCAGAATACAGTTACTTTTGCTGTCATTGTCCTTAATATCAGAGACGGTTTTTAGAACCATAGCTTTTGGGCTACTGTCAGTATTGTAAACTGAGGAGACTATCACATATTTGACCTTTCCCCTCTTCGTGTGGTTCCATGTGCTTGCTGAACCCTGAAGATTTTCCTGCTTTATATGCCCTGTATCATGGCTGCCATTACAACTCCTACAGATTAGGTATTGCCGCTGCTTAATTGGTCAGAGGACCTTGTGTGAAGTGATGGACGTCCTTATTGCCTTTCTAGGGACTGAGAATTCTTCCTCAACGCTCAGTATCAAGTGGCAGTTCCTATCCCTCCAATATGATTTAGATGTTAATCATCAAAAAGTAGCTTTACTAAAATAGCTGCCTGCTTCTATTGCTATAGTTTAATAACACTTGCATTATAAAGAGTGAATTTAATTTACCCTGTTTAGATGGTTTAATTTTTATTTTACTCTGAATTTGGTCAAGGAAAAAACAGTTTCACTGGCTTCTAATCTGTTCCATTCAGTAGCAGAAGGCTGCAAATACAGCAGGGCTGTTTTTATGTGCTTAAAATAAATTCAAGTTGAAACTTCTTTATAAAGTGGAAATATTCCTGTAGATCTCAAGCTTCATTAAAACATATTTTGGAAAAATCTAAATGTCCGCTCCAGCTTATTGGCTAAAATCCTTTTTAAAAGGAAAGCATTGGAGGAACAGGCCAAACTAAACATTTTGGTAAATTAACCTTCTGTTTCTTGGAGTCAGCTCTGGATTGCTGAGCAATCATGATCCTGTAGCATTCTGAAATCAGCAATTTTCCCTGCCAAAGGTGCTCATGTGTGGTCAGGAGCCCTTCACCAAAAACAGTATTATCTAGACACATCTGTGGTCTCCTTTGAATTCAAACTAAAGCAAAGAGTAGCTGTGTCTTGCTGTCTTCCTCATTTCAGACTCACCCAAATGTGGACAAGAAACTTTTTACTGCTGAATCGCTGCTTGGCTTGAAGAACCCAGAGAAATCATTCCCTATTAACAGTGATGTGGGAGTACTGAAATGGAGGTTGCAGACCACAGAAGAATCTTTCATTCCACTGACAAGTGAGTGCAAGTATGCATGTGTCATTCTTCAGGTGGGATGCTTGAGCCTGGGGTGAATAGGACATGACAGCCCATCTGCTACAACAAGCACTGCCTTCAGCAGAATGTTCTGCTCTTTGATATTGTGCAAGGGAAGACATTTTAGTGCCTCTTCCCTCTGAGATGTTTTATCCAATCCGTGGCTATTTTCAGTAATGCTAGACAATCTGTGTGTTGCTCTGCAATCGCTCAGGTGTGCTGGCAGCTCTGAGGTGATTGACTATTTCTCCTTCATTTAGAGCTCACCTGCATTTCTCTGTCTCTATCTTTCTCCAGAGGCCTGTCCCTGTAAAATAGCGATGGGCAACCAAGGCTAGTGAGTGAACAGCATAAGTTTCTCCCCATCTCAGGGGGTTGCAAGATTGAAATTGGGCATGTGCATTAACCATGACCTCAAGAATAAGATTAAATACGTTGCACTTGATTCCCCTTCTTTATCATACCTTTTCAACACAAGGTGATCCATTAAGGGCAAATTAAATTACAACCAAAAGTAACATAGAGAAACAGAGTGTGTGCATGGTTCTCACAATGGGTTGTGAAATTAACATGCACCTCACACCTTCCCTTGCTTTAAATATGTTTCCCTTCTATTTGCTGAAGGCTGCTTAACTCTCCCCTCTACTCCAGGCTCTGCTCTTCCTCTTCCCTGCTGCCTCCTTCTCTTCCCCTTTCCTTCCAGCATTTCTGGAGTGTGAGAACTGGCTGATTATTGTCCTTGCTACTCCTCCTCCCTCCCAGAACTTGAACCTTCTAATCAGCTGTTGTTTGAGATCCCTGAAGGAGGGGGCAAGAGTGGGGGACTGGGTGAAAATCAGCTGATTCACAGTGCTCCAGAAGTACTGGGAGGGTGGGGGAAAAGTAGGGGACAGGAACAACACATAGATTATCTAGCATTACTGAAAATAGCCCCCTGTAAGTCTGTAAAATATTAACCAGTTAGCTGTTAAGCATTAGCCTAACTGGCATACTTACCTGTTAACTGGAGGGCTGGACCTGGCAGAAGCATGTGAGTGAGAGGTGTGTGGGGGCAAAGAACACGGGAGGGTTGTGTGGACCACACACAGAACCCGAATGGGCTGCAGGTTGCTTACCACTGCTGTAAAACAAGGTCACATGATCCAACGTGCGGTTTTGTGCCTTTAGTTAACTGCTGGCCATCAGAAAGCGGGAATGGTTGTGACGTTAACATTGAATATGAGCTGCAAGAGGAGAGCCTAGAACTGAATGATGTGGTCATCACAATCCCATTGCCGTAAGTAGGATTTGGGGGTGGGGCCGTGCTCAGCAAGTACCTGTAAATATCCTGTGGGGTTCTTCCCTTTCCAGCAGTCATGGGGGGTAGCACAGGAGTGATGGCAGTCATGCGACATGCGTGTGTCTGCTGTAAATTAGAGTTTGGTTCCCCCACCTGAGGAGCTAAAACTGCTTTTGTTACGCTTCATGGACTGACTTTTTCCTCCTTCATGCTCTCACCCATGCTAAAGGCCCTACCAAATTCATGGCCCATTTTGATAATTTCACAATTTTGGGATTTTAAAAATAGTGATTGCAGCTATTTAAATCTGACATTTCAGAGTGTTGTAATTGTAGAGATTAGGGATGTGAACAGTTAACTGCTAAGCCTCACCCTTAACTGGTGGGGGATGGAGCAGCCACCTGCTTGCCAAGAGCAGGGGGTTGCTCCAGCCCTTCGGTTTCTGTGGCAGGTGGGGGCATCCAGCACAGCCAGAGCAGGCCTTACCCTTGTTTACCACTGTGGGCAGGGGCACTCTGGCCTGACCAGCTGCTGCCCACCATGGGGGAGCCCCCTACCATCTCTCATTTAACTAGTTAGCTAATTAAATGGGATTTTGCATCCCTAGTAGAGATTCTGAGCTAGAAAGGACTTGGGTGGAGGGGTGAGTTTTGTAGTACTGCTACCCTTACTTCTGCATAGCAGCGGCACAGAAGTAAGGATGGCATGATAGGATATCGCTGCCCTTATTGCTTTGCTGCTGTCTGCAGAGCCAGGTCTTCAGTCAGCAGCTACCACTCTCCAGCCACCCTGCTCTGAAGGTAGCAGTGCAGAAGTGAGGACAGCATGGTATGGTTTTGCCACTCTTACTTTTGCGCTGCTTCCAGCAGAGGCGCTGCCTTCAGATCTGGGTTCCCTGCCAATAGCTGCCTATCTTTAGCTGCCCAGCTGTGAAGTCAGCACAGAATACCCTTGTGACACCCTCCCTCCCCTGCAATTCCCATTGGTTCAGGACCCCCAAATTGAGAAATGCTGGTCTCCTCTGTGAAATCTATCTTTTTGTCTCTGAATTTGGTTTGTGGAGGGCTTTTAGGTGGTGAGCTGTCCCCGTTGGGGCTGTGACAAGTGTGCCATTACCTGTGTGCAAATGAGCTCATGTTGCTCTGCTGCAGGTCCAGTGTTGGTGCCCCAGTGATTGGAGAGATTGATGGGGAGTATCGCCATGATAGCAGGAGGAATCTCCTCGAATGGTGCCTGCCAGTGATAGATGCCAAAAACAAGAGTGGCAGCCTGGAGTTCAGCATAGCAGGGCAGCCCAATGATTTCTTCCCGGTGCAAGTCTCCTTCGTCTCCAAAAAGAATTACTGCAACATAAAGGTATGGCCACCCCCACTACTTGTGTATCCTTCTGGGGCAGAGCTTGGGCAGCGCTGCCTCGAAGCCTAATGCACTGCAGTCCTCGGCGTGAACAGTTGCAATGGCACACTAATTGTTTTGTGGTAGGTGCGTGGCTCTGCATTTGTAGCACCCACCCAGTTGTGTCAGTGATACTCCTGGAGACTGTCTAGCTCTTGCTTCTCTTTGCTGTCTGTTGCACCATCCTTCGCAGTGCCTCTCCTTAATCCCTCTCTTTCTGCTGGATCTTCTCCAAGAGCAGCCTCTTTATTTGATATTGCTGCAGTTCCCTCTTGCTGCTTTTCTGCCCTTGAGCTATGTGGAGACTACCCTTTGTTCAGTCCGGTGTGTTCTTCCCACCTGACGCTGCTGAAAAAATAGGCAGCAGTGGTGAGGATGATTTGCAGCTGTAGCTATGATTTCTCAGCTTTCTGAAGGCAGGGAGTAGGGCTAGATCACACTAGAGGGGATCCCTCCAGGAAAAAGCTAAGTACTGCCTGAAGTGGTTGCAGTGAATCAGTAGTGCACACAGCTTGATGCTTGAGGCATTATGCTGCCATCTCCTTCAGAATAGACAGATCTTAGGCACCTGTGCCCAAGATGTTTTTTATGAGGCTGGGCATTCATGCTGGTATCCTGGCCAAATTCCAGTTCGGATAATTCCATTCAGCTTTTCTAAAACTTACCCTGCAATTTCAGCTATATCTGAATTTCTTTCTCAGTATCTCTACTAAGCATTAGTTCCACTTGTCCTGAGATATGGTGACTAAAGCAATCCATTTATCACCGTGTTTGAGAAATGTTCTGGGGTGGAAGGCGGAGGATGCTAGATCACCTGAAGCAAATGAAAATTGCCTTTACCTTAGTGTGAAGGCTTTTTTGTATGGGGTAAACAGCCACAGTACAGGGAACTGAAAGCTACTGTTCCATCTGCCTGGTCAAATGGAGCAGCTGCAGTGAGACCTTTCTCCACCTTGAACCTTAACCAGAAGGCACAACTCAGTTGCATCCAGAGTACTCTGAGTACTCTGAGACTTGGTTGTTACCATAAATGAGGTAACTGTCTGGATTCTTATCCACTAAGGACAGCTGGAAACCGAACCTCAAGCTGAAGTTGACCTTGTGGCTCAGAAGTGATGTGCCCAGCTACCATCGCTCTTTTGTCCTGGTTTGAACTGAAAAATCTCATCTGAATTGTGTTTTGGAGACAGAATATCGATTGCTGAACTAACACTGTGTATTATCTCCACAGGTTACCAAAGTGACCCAGGTAGATGGGAACAGCCCCGTAAGGTTTTCCACTGAGACCACCTTCTTAGTGGACAAATATGAAATACTGTAACACCAGCAGCAGGGAGTAACAAATGATTTTTAAAAAAAATTAAAACACAAAAAGGCTGAAGTTTATTTTGAACGTCTGGAACGCCGCAGCCCTCTCTTTGCTTGGACACACGGCTCTGTCTGCCAACTGCAGTGTTCCTGGGTCACAGGCATTCTTTGACAGAGAATTGACATGATCATATGGGGAAAGGCTGCTAATTTCTTTGGCATTCTTTGACAGAGAATTGACGTGATCATATGGGGAAAGGCTGCTAATTTCTTTGGCAGATTTTACTGGACAACAGTAAAGCAGGATCTTCATTGAGAAATCCTGGCTTTGATTCCTCCCCTTCCTCTCTCCCACAAAGCTAGCTGCATAGCTCAGTCCCGGAAAGAAACTACAACTCATTCTCTTCCTTTTTAGTGTATTGAGTTCTGTTTTTGTCATGATTGTTGCCATTTTAATTTATCCCCTGCCTTCAGCCCTTGTTTCCATGGATTTAAATATGCATTAAGATATTCTAAACATGGGCATTATGCATTCTGGATCCTTTTGTCTTGGGAATGGAATTAGCTGATTGGACTTGGCCTCAGTTTTAAAAATGAAGTTTTGGGTGGGTGTAGTAAACATGTTCCTCCTCTGCCTGTATTTGCTGCCTGTTCAACTCTGCTTTTCAGTGGTGGACCTGCACTTGGACCAACTCCCACAGTGAGCTACATGCCTTTGGTGTGAGTTAGATCAGAGTTGTCTCCCAGCTGGCAGAGAATGGAGCTTCTGAATTGATTGGATCCAACTTAGAGGAGTGGAGGAAGTGTACCTGGAAATACTCATATTTGCTGCAATTTCCTGTCACTCTTTGGTGCAGACCCTAGGCCAGGTGTTTAAAGTCATTGTGCCTGGTGTAAGTGAACACCTTTCTTGATCTATTTCAATCTTCCCCAGTTAATTGAGCCCCCATACCTGCTAGTATGCATCTTAGCCCTTCCTAGAAGCTGCTTATAAAAGGGTATGGAGCCTGCTTTGTTCAACCCCAGGTACAGATCTGAATTACTGAAACATGAATATGTTAGACTATGTCTGCTTGGGCCCACATAAGAGCAGAAAGGAGTGATCATGTTGGCACTTATTGATGGCGTTAGGAGGAGGGAAGCTGGGGTTGCAGCACAGAGACTTTAGGTAAAAGTCAAGTACTGGTGCCCTTCTAAGTTTGTCCTGTAGTGTAAGGGCTGCACTCAACCACACTCCGTTGCTCCACAGAAAAGCTGACTAGCTGGAATAGCATTGGCTATGTCATCCCCAGGGAAGCCATGCTCACTAAAAACACTCCCCCCCCCCCCTCCTTTCTTTAGAACCTTTTTTTTGGGGGGGAAGGAAGGGGGGTGACATTGGGTAGTCTCAGACTGTCTACATCTGAGCCGTGCCTGGCTGATTGCATAACTTCAACAAGGAACTTTGCTAACCATCATTGTAGCAAGGCCTCATGGTTCTAGTCAAACATAACTACTTTGCTGGTTTGTGGGTGACAGGAAATGAAGTTTCTAGCTCATGGAAGTCCTAGAAACTTGTGTACTATGCTTCAGTGGAAGAACACTTGTTTTTTAGACTAAGTTCACACCAGTGCTTGTGGGGTTGTCTGCCAAAGAAGTTAGCTGTCTCTCCTCTGTTACCTTAATTGCATTGTGAGGAAATGTAACTCCTGTTTTTTCCATGTGAGGGTGATATGTTCTGGGAGAGGGGAAGCAAATCCTGTCCCGTAGTTAAGTAGACTATGAATCTTAATTCAGTTGTGTTCAAGAGTTGCTTATCTGTATGATTTTAAAACGGAGTCAAGTTTAGTTTCAAACATCAAAGGAGCATTTTTCTTAAATTACTTTGGAGGTAATATTTAAAAAAAGTTTTGTACCCTGTACAATAATGACCTAGGGAATAGAACACATTCCAGTGTACACAAAGAATGCAAGTTCTTTAATCAAATAAAGAGTATTCTAAAAGGAAATCAGCTGAGGCTTTGACTTAAACATGTGCTGGAAGGACTCAGCTTTGATTTGTTCACCCTACACAGCAGGTGGAGCCAATAATACCAGAAAAAATTACCACATCTCCATGAAGCTCATTGGAATAATGAGGAATGGGACAGCTCATGGTCAATTGTTCTCTTTTATTTCCTTTAAAAAAAAATTAAATGTAAGAACAGTAAAAATGGTTGACTGAAACGTCATGTAAGATTTTTGCTTTCCTTGAATCTTTTTCCAGGTTGCATTTTGCTGGGCAGAATTGAATGACCACTTCCCTGTAACACTTCTCAGACTTTCTTGCCATGTTTTATGTGGAGAATCACCTCCAACAGCATCTGCTAGCTCTACTATGTAGGTATGACCTGTGAAAGGCCATGGCAATTACTCTATGTAGACCTTGAGCCCATTATTCCACTCAAATATTAAAGCTGGAAAAAGGGCAGGGAGAGTAGTTTTTAGTGAATACATTTAAAGTATGATTGGGGGGGAAAACCTACGAGGACTTAGGTGTTTTAATTTTGGGTTAACTTGATAGGCATCTGCCTGAGAGTTTTCCTAAGAGCTCTAGCAATAGTTAAGTTGCCTCTCAGCTAAGCCTTGGTCCCCCTTCCTAAAAACCTGAGGCTAATTATTTGTAAAACATAGTGTTTCTCTAATCTGCAGTGACATAGGCAATACGTGACCGGTGCCTGCAGGTGGAGAGGGAGCATTTGCCTTACTGGAATCTGCTACAAGTCTTTGCATGTTATCTAGATTCCTTAAAAGGAAGATGGGAGAGATCACCCTTGGACTGTTTCACTTGTCTCCCCTGTAGTCCCTGCCCTGCACTGGTGTATTATATAAAGAGGTCTTTAATCTGGCAGAGTAGTCTGGAACCAAGAAGTGGAGAATAAATGAGAATGGTGAAGATATTAAAGAACCAACTCTGATAAAAGATAGTTGCCATGAACAGAACCCTGCATGAGACTATTATGGTAATAGGTCCTGTGGGACCTGCAGGATGCCAGTGCCACTGTAGGTCTCTACCTAGCCCTGCACAGAGCTCTGGTGCAAAGACCATGATGTTCTCCCAGCCCCTTCTGTTCCCATCTCTAAACTCTTTATTTCATATTCTTGTTTTTTGCCAAGATGATAAATCATGCAGGAGAACACTGTAAAAATAGTACAATGCCCACTTTTAATACTTTATGGGTCACTTCCAGCCTTCTCTGCCCCTTTAGCTGTTCTGTGGTAAGCATACGCTAGCTGATGTCTCTGTACTGTTAGGGATGGCTCTTTCCTGTCCACGCTATGGCTGCTATCCTATTCTTCAGCTGCAATGTACATGAATTCTTCCAGAAGTTACTGGCAGCTATTCACATCCTGCTGTGGGAAAGCTTCAGCTGATGTAAATCTAACTCCTAGACATTAGATTGCCGCCATAGGGATGTTAAATATTGATGAGTAGTCAATTAACCTCAAGAATTCTTACCAGATACTCAACTAGTCTGTAGTCTGCGGGGGTGGGATGGCAGCCAATGCACTCTGGCCCCACTCCCGAGGAGCCCCCTGCCACTCTGCTGCTGCCTCTATATCAGAGGCAGCAGTGCGGAGTGCCAGGCAGGAGCTGGTCTGTGAGGGGAGCTATTTTAAAAACCAGCTCCCTTTGTGAACTGGCTGCCTGTCGCCCCGTGCTGCAGTAGCGGGGGTGGCAGCAGTCCCTGTTGGGTGCGGAACAGCTCAGCTCCTGGACCCATTGTAAGCTGGGATGCCTTCCCACCTGGCTCCTAATACACTTTAAAGGCAGAGCTGCAGTAGGGATAGGTCCTGGACCTGATGCAAGCCACAACTGAACTGGGCTGCTGGCCAGCCTGCTTAAACTTACTGACGGGGGAAAGGGCAAGACACCCTCAGACCCTCCTAGGGAAGGTTTTTTTCCTTGTGATAGAATGCATCCACACTAGCAGCAGGGTACACGGAGCGCAGTGTACTTTGGATAGTTATCCCACTATGCAAACAGCATAGGGTGTTTTGGGAAGTTTGCTATGCCATCATACAGCAGATACAGCATCACTTTTTGTTGGTTTCTGAATCCCATAATTCCATCTTTAATAGACTGCATGACGAGAAGAGTGGGAAGACAGAGATAGCATCTTTGGGAAGTGTGTGTGTGGGTGGGGGGGAGTGTACATGTGAGAAACAAGACAGTGTGGGTGTTGGGATAATACAGATTGGGCCTCCTTCGTCTGGCACCCTTGGGACCTGAGCTGTACTGAACCAGGGAATTTGCCAGGCTAGGGGCGATCATTGCTCTCCTGTTGGCTGCTCTGCTCCTAGGCTCCTCTCCCTCAGGCTCCCTGCCCTGCAGTTGGCCCCACTAATGCTGGCCTGGTACCGGCTCCTCACCCTGCTGCCTGCACCCTGCCCCAAGGTCTCTTGGAGTTCCTGACAGGGACAGCCTGGCTGCTGACACTTCTAGGCTGGGGCCATCCAGACACTGCCAGCCCCACTGCTGCTAAGGCTTTGCCCTGCCACTCTGTGCCACGGCTAGGGCTAGCCCTGCTGCCACTGGGAACTCTGGGGTTCCCCAGCTGGAGCCACTTGTCCCTGCTAGCTTCAGCTGTGGGTTCTGTGGCTGAGGCTGCTCAATCCAGACCTGCTGCCATCGGAGGTATCCTGGAGTTCCAAGCTGGGCCACCACCAGCCCTGCTCCCCTGAGGTGGTGGGGAAGGGATCCCCCACTGGGCTGCCTGCCACCAGAAGCCCCACTACAGCTGGGATTCCCCAGCTGCTGGGCCCAGCTGGGGCTCCCTAACCTGCATTCTCTCATCCTTGCTGGACCACGGATGTTGCCAGACCAGAGAATTCCAGATTTGGGAGGTTTAACATGAAGATGTTTTGAGGGAGAGTATGTCTGTATGGTGTGTCTGCATCCAGCCTGGGCAAAATGCAGCCTGTGGGCCAGATGCAGCCCACCAAACAACCAGCTCTGGCTCGCAGATGCTGCACTCTCTCCCAGGCAGGCTTCCTGCTTGTCTTGCTTCACCTGCACACTGCTCAGAAATGTGGTTCTAGGGCAGTTTTTCTTTAAAAACTTCCGGAGGGGAGAGCGGAAAGCTTTAGGAGTCACTCCTGCCCCCAGCACAATCCCATTGGCCAGTTTCTAGTCAGAAACCAACCAATGGGAGCTGCCTCTTTCAATAACAGGTAGCCAAGATGCACAGGGGGCTCCAGAGCACATGGCTGCAGCCTCGGGGAGGGCAGCAGTGTGATTAATTAGCCATGTCCAGTCAGAGGTTCAGGGCTTCATGTGGGGCTGATTAATCACCTGTGAAGCTGTGATGTTAAGTGGCTTATAAGGAACACTAGCAGGGATGCTGATTCAGAAAGGGGCTGCTGAGTGGTAAGTCTCCTGGTCAGACCCTACCTCTGCCCTCCACTCCACACCCAAATCCTCTGCCCCCCTCCCAGATCTAGCACCCCAGTCCTCTGCCCCAGATCAGTCCCCTCCTGTCCTAGCTCACAATCCAAATCCCTGCATCCTCTCCTGTACCCCAATTTCCTGTCCTATGTCAAAGTCCAACCCCTTGCATTCCAGTCCAGTGCCCCAGGTCACAATTGCCTCCTTCACCCAAACTCCCTCCTTTACCCCAAGCTCCCTTTTGTACCCAACCTCCATCCTAGACCCTACACCACCTCCATTAATATCATGGAAGACTGTAGACCTTGACCACTTTCCAAATTCTTGGAGTGCCTTGCCCCCCAACAAAAATTATTGCTCACCTCTGCTCTTAAGTTTACACAGCTGCCTCAGCAGTCAACCCTGGGGGTTGAGGATACCCTTCCCACCATCAGTCCCTCCCCCATTCCATGTTGTTAATTCTGAGATTCCCTCTTAGTTTTCCTAGCCTCCTTAGCTACCGAGAAGTAGTACCCTCCACAGTTCTGACAGTTCTCCATGCTGAGAAATGTTAGAACTTCCCAGAGCTTTGAAAGGGGAAAAGTAAATGTGTACCTAGATGTAGGGCAACCAAGTTCAAAATTGTGAACACACCATGGGCATTTGTGAGATCCTGGGGGAGGCTAGTGTCAGCATAACAAAACTGCAGCATCTATACTGATACATTATTGCTTTAACTTTGCTGCCAAAAGCTCTGTGCTTTTCATCAAGGTGGTTTTGTCAGCAGAAGAGCACAGTTTTGCTGCCAAAAGTAGGTTTGTAGCATGCATGCCTCTATCGTTTTATTGGCAAAAGCTGACCATTTTTATCCCTTAGTCCTTCCTCAGTTCTGCCCATTGAATTACCAGTAAGAAATTGGTTCTCCATACAGACCTCTCCGTAGCTTCATGTGTCTGGAATGTGACTACAGAAGACTGGACAATAGTAGTGTCTAATTGCTGAGTAGTGAGCAAAACATGTCTCTGCAGCCACTGCCCAGTTTAACTCCTAGCTGACTCTGCTCAAAGAGTTCTAGTGAAGATTGGCACCAGCTTACTATTTCTGAAAATAATGTCCTGTCCAAATCCCTGAACACACCTGGGCCCTTGAACTAATTCTGTTTGTGTTGGATGAAAAAGCAAAGAAAGATGAGCAAATTCCACAAAGTGGGAGGTCTTGTATTGCATGTGGTCATTTCAGCTGTTCTATTCAGAACATTTCCTGAGCTCCCAGGTCAGGGTGCTTCTTTATAACAGGGAGGGGGTTTTTGGGTGGCCAAGAGATGATGTAATTTAAACTATAAATGGATCTATTTATTTTTAGTTAGTTGGGCTTTAATTTGGAAAATGTTTGGAGAGAGGTATTGTTTATCCCTCTTCTTGGACAGCAGCTGGCGTTGTTGCTATCTGAGGCAGGATAATTTAGCTTTAAATTCCTATGAACTGTGAGCATAACTAGTGTGATAGTTACCACATCTGCACCTTTTAAAAACCCAGCATTTATGTCTATTTAGATTGTCAGCTCATGGAGACGGAGTAATTTACTATGCATTTATTGAATGCT